TATGAACCTTATTTAAAATATTGATTTATTTTTTTATTGGGAAATACCGGCGATGCGATAATTTTCAAGCTCGTTCGGATTACCGCGTCTTTCGGATTAGCCTGTGTTCGGATTATCGAGACCCTACTGTATAACCAGAAAAATATGGTGGAATGTACCATATAATTACAATAATGTAACTAAATATTTGTAACAAACATATTATGTAAACATGTAATAATTGAATGTAATGTAATAGGTAATTGATGTATGTAAACTTGTAACCATATGAAAGTGCTTGACCTAATGGAGGGATGATTGAGTTAATTTTTCTCGTTTTAGACGATAAAAATCAACTTTTAAAGGGGAGATGTAGTAAGCAAGTTACTACGTAACAATAAAACCAATTCCACAGGTGCATAGTTATTATATTATACGGTAGACCGGCGTAGAACGGAAATGGGTTGGGATTTCCTCCTTCAAACCTAAGGAGACAGGCTCACTGAATAGCTCAGGATGAAGGGTTCAAGAATAGGCGGATGGAATATTTACAGAAAAACTGAACACGACGAAATACAAATATAAAAGAGTAAAATGATTATTTTAATAATAATCATATTTTGGTAATGCGTCAATCGTTAATGCGTAGGCTGGAACTATGACCACACAAATTACATCCGTGACAGTCTTGATACAGTATCTATAGGCGAGGGGTACGGGGAACTTCATATATAAGGGAGCCCGAATCGGCCTGTATTCAAACGTGTACTACCACCCATTAGTGCAAGCACCTTCACGCCACTCTGTACAACAATATTTGAACTTAGAAAAATTATCGAAGTGTAATAATAAAATTCACAATTATACAACAACTGTTATATCTTTTATTCATCAACCACGACTATTTTATCTGAAAAAGTGTCTGCGATCTGAAACGTTTACGTACTGGTAGCCACTTGTCTACTATTATTACTACAATAGTAGGTACCAAAACACCAGAACGTTACACTATTCACTAGTCACTTCTGCAGGTAGATAAAATAAGCCTAAATTCAGAAAATTAATAACTGAAAAAATCAACTTGCGAAAATATTATTTCTTATATATTTTCACTGATGTGCCCTCTTAAGTTTTAAGAAGTTAGTAATTTGTAAATAACTAGATACCCTTTGGTATTAAGGAATACAATAAAGTATAACATTTTTTATTAAATGATACGATAATGTCATTAATTTATAATTTCTATATCATATTTTCACGTTTGTTTTTTATAAATACTACTCTATTGAGGCCTATAGTATTACAGCTAATCAGAAAACATCATAATAACTTACCAATCTCTTCTTTATATATCTTGGCGAAACACCGCTGCACCCGAAGCATACATGGAAGTATAGGAAATCCATTATAAAATTTCAAAGGGCCTAATATTTTTAACATCGATGTAGATATAGATATAGATGACCGTCCCCTATTCTCATATTTTTAATCTTTATTATTATTATTTTATTGTTATTTATCAAAACCTGTTAGTTTAATAGTTCAACACTTAAGATGGGTACAGCGTACAAATTATGCCCTCAAATTGGCCGAAATGTCACAACGTTAATATTATTGACTAGGTACCTATGTCTTTAGATTTTACAGCTAACACTACAATGGTCTCATAAGTGCATTACAATTACAAAATGAAAATAATTGCTTTACTTGCTACTTTCGGTATTTGTTCAATATTCTGCCACCAATAGATGAAAAATTCAAGGCTTTGCAATGATTAAGAGTTTTAGCTGCTTAACTTTTCAAGAAAATACACAAAAGTTGGTATATAAAGTGAGTATATCTTGTACTTATCATCCATGTGCATTACCAATATAAAAATTCCTCGGAAAACAGTTTTTCATATTTTCAAAAAAGATATTATTGACATCTTAATACTCAACCAACTAATAAAGTTACAAAGCCCCATTCAAAGCATACATATTTGTTTACAGCAAGATAATCAAAAAACTATAAGGCTAAAAATATGAAAAGGTAAAATATAGTAGGTATTAATAAATATAGACATATTAGGCTTGGGCGTCAATCGTTTCCACAATAAATTCTACCTTAAGCTTAAGGAATAACTATTTTTTTTATAGTCATATTTCTGTTTTATAGTGTTCTTTATTGTTTATATATTATATGGTATTCTGAAATGAGTTAAAGGAGCACACAACGATTTACTAGTGGCAGCTCGTGATTAAATATTCTGGGAGACTGGGAATACTTTAATATTATCGTCTGCAACAATTATTAAATGTAAATTGTAATAAATATATGGCTAACTGTCTAACGATGGCGCGGTAGCAGTGCAGCACGGCATATTATGGGTGTTGTCGAGGAATTACGTATATATGTATAATACTCGTTTTAATGGTTTTATTTTGATCTACACACTCAAAAATTTATATCTGAAATAAAAAACCCAATATTATGTTGTATGTGGGCCCCCTCACACATCACGATACCTGGAAACGAGAAAGCAGACAAGACAGCCTATGAAGCCACCTCATCTTCATTATCCAAGAAAAAAAAATAGTACAGACACAGAATAAACAGAAGGGAAACGAAAGAAATTTTACATGGGTTCTTATGGGAGATGATAAAAACACTTCCAATATATAGGAAATTCTCCAGGGTCGCCGTATGTCAGTATATTCTTATTTTTTCATTATTTATGTCAGCACTGATTATTTAATAATACAGTCTATAAATAAGCAATACTGCAATAAATAATGAAAAATAAGAAATCACGTCAATAATAGTATGTCCAAATAGTCAGGAAAAAAAAATACCCAAAACTATCAATACCTGTTGGCTAAGCAATCATAGATCAATTCAGACCGTCATAGTTCAAGCTTCATATACCTATAACAAAACTAGACCCTTCACTCTTCATATAGGTTTCTTTTATAATAATAAAATTATACAATCAGTAACATTTTTACTTACATGATAGTATGAAACATGTTATTAAATGTAACAACTTGAATTGTCTTTAACAATATCAAAAAGCTTTGAACATTTGAGGAGTAAGAAACTTTGTAACATTCTCCAGACCATATTGGAATAAGTAGGAATGAATTATCATAATCTAGATATTTCAATAATTGAATGATTTATGTTTCTAGTTAAATACAGGAATATATCAGTGTGATGGATTAAGTAAATACACAATGATATGTAGAATTTGGAATATTTTATTATATATATATATATTTTGTTTAATTACAATGGGGTACAACTATATTTCATAAAATTGGTGTACTTAAAACTGTACTAGATTAAGTGATAATCACAAATTCTAGACAACTAAAGCGTTTTTTTATTTTTAAGAAATATAAAGTAATACTAGTCAGCCTCGTTTGCTTAAAAAATAATTTTTTCAATAATAATACTATAATTTCAAGGATAAAGAATATCACAAAGTAAATAAACTTATCTAACTTATCTAATATAGATTGTACAGTTACAATTAATAAGCCAAATGTAATGATAAAAATAACACAACTGTAGAATATTTAATTTAGTTAATCAATTTGAAAATAAAATGGTTTGCAAATATTTTTCATAGACAAAATTAAAAGTTAAACCTAATTAAAGGATCATTGTATTTAATAATATTGGTATTATTGGTAATATGGTCTCGATAGGTTGTATTTTGGTAAACATTTGTGTTGCCATTTAGTATTATATACACCACTATAGAAAAACTACTCTCCATGTTCACGAATATTTAAATATTATTGCCTCGAGTATAACTATTATAAAAGCCTTCAGAAATTAGTTCAGCTGTATCGATGGAAAAATTTATAAAGCTTAAACAAAAAAGATTTTAAAAAGATTTTGAGCAGTTATATTATTAATTGTTGAAGTTAAATGTAGAACAATATATAAAAATACAACATAAATATTTCTAGTTACTATTGTTTTGTTTAAACAGTAACACTTTTGAAACACTAGTAGTTAGTATTGATATCAACATTTAATTTAGTTGTATAGCATCTATAGTATAAAATAATTCTAATAGAAGGGATAATACATTTGAAAAGAGTATTAGCTAATAGTTAGTATTAATAATTGGACCACCATTTTTCCTCTTTAATCTTAGGCACTTTTGGTTAAAATCAAAAAGGTCAGGACTGCATGTATTGATTTAATAATAATAAAATATTGAACTATGGAATTTGACTAAATTGTTATGGTAATTGTGTTCTACATTTGATACAAATACCTAATGCTATTACACACTAAACTAAAACATGAACAATTTCTAGTATGCTAATACATTGTTATAAAATTCATAGACCATAAAGTTTAAATATGAAAAGCAAAATTATGTTTTATTGTGTATTCAATAGATAATGGCAACACATTTTTGAATTTTATGAAATTATTAAATTTATAATATTCAAAAAAATTAATTATAATAGTCTCATGGTTACTCGATAAAGTATTAGTCAATTACCTTAAAAAATAAACTAATTATATTTTACATTATTTATAATTGAGTGTTTTGTCTATGGTCGTAATTTTTGAATTTAATAATCAAATAAATACGCAATAAGAAATAATTCTATGTTTATATAAATTAGTCAGGCTTTTATAAATAATTTGGGGTTTTTTTTTTTTTGGTACTGTATACTACTTACCTAATCATAATTAAAAAAATAATTTAGCCAATAAATAAACTGCAATATTTCAATATAAATTGCTATTTTAAATTCATTATTTTTCAGTTGGATTAGAATTGGACATTGAAAACTACTTAATATATAATGTTTAATACAGGTAATGGAAGAAAACATTGCTTATGATATTAATCTCTATTTCATTACTTATATAATTCATTCATTATATATTCGGCTACCATAATATAAACTGCTATGAATGCTCCAACAATACTTGCAATAGTTGTATTCATTCTGAAAATAATTATTGTTGCTATTCCTAGACCACCATATGTCAGATAACGAGATTGATCAGAGCTCTTCCATTTGGTGTCCACTAGAACAAAATAATAATATGTTAGGATTTTGTTGTTAAAAGAAAATAATTATAACAAGGTCAACAAAACTTATAAAAAGTCTTAATTAAAATTTAAAAGTGAAATTATAATATAGGTAAACTTAAAATAACTTAATAAAAGTGAATGCTATAAATAAAAAAAATATTTACAGAAGTGGTTATTAATTATTACAGAATGCACAGTGGACAATTATTAATAAAATATTAGTTGGTTAGTTCTTTCTATAAACAAATTTCAGAAAATTTTTTATAAATTTTTAAACATTTCTTTCAAAAAAATATAGATTTTGTTAATTACAGTAGAAATGTCTTATGACAAATTGGTTTATAAAATAACTGCTATTAAAACTTCTTTAAGACAATGCAAAACATGATTCCTAAATCATGTAAGTTAAGAGTTGAAGTCAAACATAATTTTAATTAAGAATGGATAACTTTTCAACATTAATTAATGATTCTATAAATATTTAAATAAGAAATGATTCAATTGTGTATGATTTTTAATTTTGGAGGAAGTAATCTAAAAAATATGTGATAAAGATGGGGGATGATGTAGTGTATGAGGTGAATAAGTTCATGTAATTAACACGTTGAGTGCCACAGTTGACACATAGTCAACAGCAGTTGCAGGGTCGACAATTTATGTAGCCATATTTATGGCTTTATAATTTACTCGGTTATCAGAACAATGCTTCTGTTTTTATTTGTGGTAATTCAGTGAAATGTTAATTTTTCATCGGTGTATTAGGATTTTATTTTTAGCAAAGTTATGGTTATTTTTCCCAAGAAATAATCAATAGCGATGACAATTGTTTATGTTTATAAGTATAGTTATAGTAAGACATTATTCTTATATACAGTTATAGTTATTGATGTTTTTAATTATATATTTTTCGTTGAGATTGGTAGATTTTATAAGGAAGTTGTGACTTGTGAGGCTAGTTATATTATATCGATTTTGGGCAGTGAGATATAAGATATAAAAGTGAATAGGAAGGACAGAATAAGAAATCAATTCAATAGGACTAGTAAAATTGTTGACAAAATGAGGGAAAAATTAATAAACTTACTATAGAATTTTGTGACAAGTGTTGTATTATAATTAGTTGATGTTAAATGAAATATTTTTTAAGATATTATACAATTAGGTTGTTCACAGTTCTTATTATCATCAACAAAATTAAGTGTAGTTTATGCATAAGTGAATTCAGGAAAAAGATATATATTACGATAGATAATTTATAAAAAAATTATATTTAAGTAGATGTGAATAAAAAAAGCTTTCATATAAGTTATTTCAACAACAAATTTAGGTAAATGGGAGTTGGTATTATTTACAAACTTTTAGATTTTCTGGTCACTAATAGAAAAAACTAAACTATTAACCATTGATCTAAAAGAACAAAAACACAACTTACTCAGTTTTCTCTTCGACTTCATAGCCTTCACTAGCATCTACAATTTAAAAATCGTGCAAACAATCATTACTAAAGCATTAGAGTATTACACATGCTCTAATAATTGAGTAATAAATGATTCTTAAACGTGCATAAGCTCGTAATAATTAATCAATTTTAAATACTCCCAGAAAATACAAAATTTAAATAAGAATAAAAAACTACCTATGCATTTTTTGTCTTTCATGATGTATCCTGTGGCGCAATTGAAGCACATATCATTTCCATCACCATAACAATCTGTACATGATGGATCACAACCTGTAGATAAATAAATTCAAATAAAATATACTAAATTAATAAGTCTACATTATGGTACTTACTCAAACAAGAATACGAGCCATCATTATTAATACAAAATTGTTGTGAAGTACAAACGTCTTGTTCCAAACACTCATCAACATCCACACAACCTTCACCTTCACCCATGTACACCCATCCATCTTTACATTCATCACAACCTGTATATATAAATACATATTATATTATTTCAAATTAAACATAAATTAAATAAGATATTCAAGTTTTAATCAAAAAAATTAAATTAACAACCTATAGTTTTACTATTTTTAATGATACTATATTAGAGTAATGATTAATTTGAATTTTGTAACTTGATTGAGTATTTAATCTAAATTCAATTTTTTTTATCCAAAAATGGATATTTTTTTATTCAATTCATTGATATAAGATGAAACTACTAGATAGTCTAAGACTTGAAAAATTGCATGGACTATATTATAGTGTACAACCATTTCCCCAATTTCAACAATGGTATAATATATTGATAATTAGTATAGATATTACAGTAAATTAAAATAATATTATTTTCAATCAAGTATGTATTCAAAATTCAAGACTACAGTGCAAAAATGAGCAATGTTTATACAAAATTAAAGGCATATATAAATAGTGTGGTCTGATAATATCTGAAATTTAGTCAAGTTAGATAATATTACCTATTTAAGAGCTACAAATCCAAGCACAAGAATTTTTTTTGTCAATAATTATATAATTATATAATTTATTTATTAATTTAAATAAAAAAAAAGTAACATTTATTGATAGTATAATTAATTTAATATACCTTTTGGCCCTGATTCTGTACAGCTATCTTTGCATGATTTATGGCATTCTTCACAGGTAAAAGTATTATTTTTCAGTATAACAAAATAGTTATTGGCACAATGATCACAGTTGGTACCTTCATAACCATTTTTACATTTGCATGACCCATTGCCTTTTCGAGTTCCATCGCCCTGAAATAGAATAAATTTCATTAAAAATATTAATATTTATTAAATAATAAAGGGTAGTAAGTATTTTATTATTACCTTGCAAGTTCCATGAGAATTACAAACATTTGGATAACCTTTACATGGTAAACAATCAGGGCCATAATGTTTTGGTGGGCAACACACTTTTAATTTGTCAACACAAAACCATTGGAATAGATCTTCTTGACGGCCATCTGTCCACCATTCTTTTAAATGATGTTCGTATTCACTCGACAAATAAAAACACTATAAGACAAAAAATGTTTTTTAACTTGGAAAAAAAGATCAAAAGTTTGGGTAATTATTTAATTTTACCATATCTTGGTCATGAGATATTTCAGTACACAATGAATCATGGATTTCCACAAATCTCACTTCACTTTTTGCATAAGTCAATAAGTTTTTCTCTTCCCATGCTGTATTTCCACCACCAAAGTGACCATTTTTAGTTTTTTCAAGACCCTAAAAAATTGACATTATTTTTAAACATCTACCCACACGAGCACAATTTTAATTTATACATTTATTACCTTCTCAAACGATTGAACTAATATTTTACAACTTTTGCAAGGTGATATATCAGCAGAAACTTTTGGAACAAAATTAGAGACATCCAAACCATGTAATAATTGAAAGAATGGAAGCAATAACAGTACGTGCATTATCAATAGTATCTAAAATAATATATATAAAATAATAAATGTTTTTAATTGTTAAATGATAGCTAGAATTAAGTATAATACTTAAGTATGAAGTAAATCATTTTCATGAACTTTCAGATTGTATTCATAACATTATCATTCCACCAAAAAAAAAAAACCACTGCAATTACTATTAACATTTAATATAATTTAAAAATGTGTAAGTTAGTTTACACGAATATAAACAATTACACAAACTTTTTTTTTTTTAATATTTATGATACAGTTTAGGTAATTAGAACAAAAATATAATTCATTTCAAAGAGGTCTAATTTTGGAGCTTAAGAGGATGTCAAAGTAATATTTTTCTTTTCTTTCGACTAACACGTAACATAGATAAAACACTTTCGCCTAGAATCATTTGAGATTCTAAGCGGAGCGATGAATGTATTGATTTTAAAATGATGTTTTTTTTGTGTCTGTCATCACTGTTGGGGCAGTAAAAATGATTCAATTTTCTTCAACAGTATCTTGATTGATAGGAAAGAGAATTTGGTTGATGCATTCGGCAGATCAAAATTAAAATAGTTTTCAAAAGCGCTGGGAGTTTTTCAAATTTAAGAAAAACGGGAATTTGGTTTTTGGCGTAACTCTAAAACAAATGACCGTACATACATGACATTTTCACTGGTTGATTATATTCTCATTTTCTATACATGATAAAATTTTCAAAATATTTTGATTTGTTTTGAACTGTTTTTTTTCGAACATTATCAGTTTTTTTTTCTATGAATGTCATAAAAACTTTATTTGTAGGGTAAGATAGGCTTGAACATTTAAGACAATGTTAATTCTATATTGTTACAATGACTTTTGAAAAATATTAAAAATCCAGTCACAATTTCTTTTATAAGCATTGTGAAAATTATTTTGAGTTAGAAATTCCTAAAAATTTTTCTTTTTAAATCTAAGATTTAAAAAAGTAATACAAGATTCCTTATGAGTTGGTCTATTTTCATCAAAACAAAAAAATGCCTAAAGAAAATAAATTAAATTTTAAGTGCGTTTGAAGTTAAAATTTTTACCACACTGGATATTCACTTGATTTCTTAAGTAGCGATTTTCTTATTTTGTTGTAATTCAAAAATGAATAACCTTAAATACATGAAAATTTCACTGAACGTTAACATTATCTTTTTATATACACCATACAATTTTGAAAATATTTGACTTGTTTTAAGCTGTTTACGGACAATTTCAAATTTCAATTATTTTTCTATAAATATCAATTAAAATGTATTTGTTGGGTCAAAAAGCGTGAAAATGTAATACAAGGCTTCTGATATATTGTAACAATAGCAGATGAAATATATTGAAAATACAAAGGAATGTTTTTTTTTTTTATAAACATTTGAAGTTTAAGTTTGACGAAATTTATCAAATTGAAAATCTACAAATTATTTAAAAGTTACAAATTTATAAGATGTTCAACTTTTATAAGTAAGGATTAAAAATGTAAAACAAAGTTCCACGTAAATAGGTTAAATATAAATTATTTTATTCACAATAATAATATCATAGGCTGACTAACCGTGTCCACTCAGAGTGGTTTTCTTATACAATAATATTATATCAATCATCATTGAATTAAAATTTAACACAATCCATTACAGAGACCCACTTCTAACCTACTGTACAGCAGAGTGAAACCTTCTTGCCCACCTTTTTATGATTTTTAAGTTTTTTTTAGAGAAAATAATCCAATAAAAAAATTATATAGAATAATATTTTTGAGGGTGTGAAATCGCTTTTTTATTTTATTATTATTTGACTTTCAAAATCAAATTTTTTTTTATAAATTTGAATGTTAACATTATTTTGAGAGAATATTTAGACAAATAGATATCCTCAAAATTATTATACAGTATCATTTTTGTAATGAGATAACTCAAAAACAAAAAAAAATATTCTGAGGACATGTGTTTTGTCTATGTTGCGTGTGGGATAGAGATGGAAAACAAACAGTGCACTCTAATTCATCCTCTAATAATTTCATAGAATTCTAAAACTTGGACAGTAACATTAAAGAATATTGGCAGATTGTTTGAAATGTATTGAAGATATGTTAATTATACGAAGGATAGAAACTAGAAAGTATCTATTATCTAATGATAAGGTACTTCAGAGAGCATAAAAATAATAAAAATAAAAAGGTACAATGTAAAGAGAAAACTAATAGACAGGTGACAAAAACTGATGGAATGCCAAAGGTTGAAGAGGAAGATTACAAATAGAACACATTAAGTAAATATTGAAAGACAAATACCATATAATTTGTATCAACAACTGAAAATGTAAGCAGACAACAGAAATAAATTAATTGATAACAAAGATGAATAGAAAGGAAGATAAAATTGTTGCTTTTTATAGAATTGAAAAAGCTTGTTTAATTGTTTAGTCCATAGCTTACTAGTGTATAGTATATTACATTATACATTATACATTTATAAATACAATGGTTTTGCTTATTTGTATTTATTATAAAATATTAATGGCATCCACTTTATACTAAGAAATGTTCTTCTATCTGAATCCAAATATTATTAAGACAATGCAAAAATATTGTTTTATTAGATCACATAGAGGCATTGCATATTTATTAATTTATTGTATATGTACTAATATTTTAATTAGTAACACATTCAATTAAAAACATTAAAACACTTATGGTAAAGACGTAAAGTACCTTAACTACAAGATTAATCATAATAATTTTTTATAATCATTTACCAGTGTGTTAAAGAGTTTAAGCTACACATGTATCAAACAATTTTTTTAAATAGTCATAATTTCTACAGTTTATTTAGATTGATAAAAGAAAAAATTAAATTTTAACTCCAAAAATAATAAAGATATTTATATACACCTACTAAGGGAGATAAAAAATAACGTTATTTTAAATGATCATTAAATTAGAATCGTGCCTAGACTTGTCCCTATTTATTTAGAACAAAGAATGAAACCAATTTATTTACTTTTAAACATGAAATTTAACAATTTAGTTTGATGCTAAAATAAAATTAATTAATGTAATAATGATTATAAATCCAGTCATTAAAATTATTTGTCCAAGATAATAATGAACAAATTAATTAAAAATGTATTAACTAAACATATTATAAATGTTATGTTATATAAGTATACCTATATAGCAGGTATGGCCTGCGAAAAGTCGCGATCCGCACAATATAATGAAACATAATATGAAGAGCAGGAAAAGGAATAATACCTATTATCATATTTGTAAAAATGTTATGAAGGGAGCTGCTGTTTGGCTACCACTGCTATACAGTATAAAAAACAACTTAATTTTTATAATTTATAAAACTATAAATAATCATAAATTTTCATAAAAATCAACTTAGATTAATTTATTAATTTATAACCTGAACAAATATGGTGATTAAACACTGAATTTTTTTAAGTAATATTTAAATTGATATATTATGCGAGGATATATGCATGCATAAATTGTATTTATTGGAAATTTCATGCAAAATTATTTGGTTAAAAATGAGTTATAAATAAAAAAAGCTTACAATATTTACAATATGATTCATATTATTTATTTGTTAAATATACGTTATTTTGCTGGAGAGTATGTTTTGGTTCCCCGAAACACACATTTGAAAACTTGGATTTTACTAATATTACTAAAGAAGAAAATATTTAGTTTACATGGAGATATTGTTCACATTATAATGTTTAATTAATATTCTCAACTCTTAATTTTTGTCAATAATATTGTTACATTTTGGATTTTCTGAAGAACTATTGTAGAATTTTCAACTTATTCTACTATTTTTAAAGCATTTAAAAGTGCTTATTTCAAGGCTGTGAATTTGGAACTTGTAGAATTTAAATAAAGCGAAAAACGACACACATATAAAACATAACAAACATATAACAAACATATGCACATATATATTTTACTAATATCTAATAACACATTAATAATTAACTCATTCTAAAAGCTTCAATAAATTATGTAACATATAAATCATAACAAATTAAAATATATTGCATTTTCAGTGTAAAAACATATTTGTGGTGGCTGTTAAAATTAAGATGAATAAATCAAAAAACAAAGATTAATAAATCTTGTTTGATGCCTGACTAAAAAAATTATTCGATAATTTCGATAAAATGTTTACATTATAAATATAGTAATATTAAAAAAAATTATGTTGTTATATGTTAACTTATCTTTCAAAATGAGTCGACATTAATAAATAATAATACAAGCAGAAAATATGTTGTAATCAAGTAATTAAAACTCAGTATTAGGGTGTTAGTTGAATATATTTTCTCAAAATATTCAGTAAAAATTAGATAAATCAGGGATATAAAATGAGATGATAACAAAAGTTATCTACAAATAGATTGTCAATATGATTATTAGAAGGGTGAGGACTTCTAGTTTTTTTCATATTTGTCTAGGAAGATCGCAGAATAATGTGAGTGATGTTTCATAATACTAGTAAGCTACACTCAACATTTTATTTTGGTTATTTTTGCATATTATGTTGTTATTGCATAAAAGAAAAAATAATAACATATTTTGCCAGTTATAACGAGAGTGTGACCGCCAAGCGCATTGAAATGAATTAGCTATGACGTCGCAAGGCCAAATTTCCCTCACCATGTGGCTCTATATACAGCGGCTGAAGTAAAACACCACAAATATTAACCGCGACTAACCATTATAATATAATATATTCAGTTTAGACCAATAAGAAAAAATGTTATTTCTTGACAAATTAAGATAGGTATGTATACATTTGCTGCTAATCGCAGCATATCGGTCCATTATCTGGCCGATAATACTACAATGCGTGTAGCAGGGAGTGTAAATTGCTAATAAGTAATAAGTAATTTTTCAAGTTTTTATAAAGTAAATAATCAAACCACCTACCTCTTTTTATATTTTTGTTTTCATATTAATTGTATAATTTAAGTAAAACAATTTTTTAGAGCATAATTTAAGTACCAACTCTTTTTTGGAGCATATTTTAAGTGCATATTTGTTGTGTTTTTAGTGCATAAGTACATACATATTTTAAGGTTTATAAATACTAGAAGTCCTCGAATAATTAGTGATTAAAATGGATTTGGATATAAAAGCATTCCGGGCAGCATAAAAAACAGCTGCCTTTAGATAGACTATTAGTATGAGATACATACCAAACAATACATTAACTTGTACTTTACAAATTACAACTTACATCATTACCTTTCACAAACTGTAAATCCTCTCTTAATTTTGTTCAAAATGATTATAGTGAACTATTGCCTCTATAACTATGGTTAAAAAAAAAAATTAGCGGAAAGGAGGTTGTAACCTCTGAACCTTTTCTATGGTTGCACGACTGACTATAGGACATAACACTAATATCATCGAGTATAGATAGTATCTATACTCAATTCTAACATTTAGACAAGTAATTTTATTTTTAAAAAGGATTTGTTATGTTGCCTGTGTTATATAAGTACCAATATGAACAATATATCTGTATAAAAATAACAACAATAATACTAAACTAGTGCAGTACTTACCCACTATAGTTTGTAGAAATCCTGAAAATTTCCGGGACGAGATGATGGAAAAAACGGTTGGGCGTGTAATGGCAAGTGTAGTGCCTTTTGAATAATAATAATAATATTTAAAACGCTCGATCAGAACGTGGAAAGCGCATAGTGATTTTTGTTTCAAGCACAAAACCCTATCTATTATCCCGACTTGCACCTCGAGAATATTTACGTGGTCCAACCAGACCGGTACTGATAACGTATGACGGTGCGAGTGGAAAGCGTAGACGAATGGGGAGGGAACACCGTACAGAAACTCAGACCTGTGTTGAGTACTACCGATCTGTTTAACTACTTAAACTTTAAAATATCGATTAGTCGAATATATTCGATAGTAGTTTTACCTATTCAGTTATTACATATTAGTTACTAATAATTATTATATTAATTATTATTTATCAGGACGTATATTTTAGGTACAGTATGGTACTTAGCACTTTGAACAGTCAGTACCATTCCTAATAAAATTAAACTCACTATTCGATAGCGCTAGCTGTTCAATACATTTGTTTTTCGTAAAACCACTTACTTGATAACGTTGGTTAAGGTGTATAGTGATAAGTCGTCATCATGATTTTTATCACTCGGCCACGTCTCTTTCAGTGGTGACCAAATGCATGTTCGGGAACTTAATGGTTTCTGTATTCGTCGACACATTTTACACATCATTAATACTTTATCGACATATCGTATCAATCTATCATTCATATCTGGCCTTACCTTAAAAGAGTTGCAGTCCCGTGCGTGTCTACTATAATCTTTATTATTTTATAACACCTCGAATCTCGATTGTCAAATGTCAATTGCGAATTAGGATCGCTTCAGTCCGTCGCAACGTCCATGTGTGTGTGTGTGTGTTTTATGCGGGTATGAATCAAATGTATAATCAGTAATATCTTTCGTTTTGCAAATTGCAGTTGGGGGGTTGTCAGTGGTTGAAAATAGTAATATTATTATTATGGTAATTTCCACACAATACACATAACACGTTACTACTTCCTATTTTGCAAAATATTTTTTCTCTGCTATTCGGTTAATTTTGGCAGACTGTTTGGATATCCAGGGGGGGGGATACGCATCGATGGTTTAATAATAATATTATTGTTTTATTATCGTGTTGTCACGTAGAGTCGAACGAAAACAAAAAAAACACGAACAATAGAGCAATTATTATCTTGAATATCTTCCGCCCAATCAATTAACGCAACATACAATTCTAAACAATTTGAATAATTGTTCGTCAATTGGCTATGCTCATTCAGTTTTAATTTTCATTATTATAATAACGTTTTTATGAAATAAATATCCCAGTTTCACCTATTTCAATGACAGCAGTCTGCTGGTAATTTGTGTTTTACTAGTAAAATCTTCCTTTGAGGTTAAACTATACCTAGTCAAAATCGTGGAAATGTCTATGAACGGCAAAGAAACTTCATTCACATCATCGGACGCCAGTAATGAGGTAAGAGTTAACATTATTTTTACTCATCCTATAGTTTTAGGTACAGCATTTAAAATTAATTTTATTTCTAGAAAATCACTGCTGCAAAAATGCCCTATAAGAGCTACAGACCTAGGTCTGTGTCTACATGTTCAACAGATTCATGTAGTTCTGGTAAATATATTTTATGGCTTATAATTTTTTTTCAATCTATTGATTTATTAATTTTATGACAATTTTTTTCCTTATTGTGCTTTTATAAACTACTAAAATCGTAACTTTTATTAGTTTGAAATTCTTTAAAATATTTAATACAATTAATATTAATATTAAACATATTATTTTATGTATAATTTATATCTATTGGAAATTTGCGTTAGTAGTTAAGCAGGTAGTAATAAACATTAAATATGACCTAGATAAGTACTTATTGATAAATTATAAAAAAAAAATATTGGGTGTGTTGTAAATAATGTATAATATATGTGATTATACCTATTAGGTATCTACCTATTTAAAATTATCCATAAAAATTGTGTAAAAGTACTTAATATAAGAATTTTTTTTATTTTACTTAAATAATCTAAGCAAAAAAACAAAAAAAATTTAAGTTTGAGAGGATGTCAGCACATTTTCTTTTTGACCCAAGCACAACATAGCAAATTTAAGTACAGCAGAACTTATCTTAAGTTAACTTGCATATTTGAATGAATTGACAAAATATCAAACTTAAGTTAGAAACATTATATGAGTTTTTATGATGGATTTTTTTTTACAATATTAAAATTCTTTATCAAAATATGAATATATAGAATATTACAATTTAAATATAGTAAAAATGCTAATGTACAAACACTGATTATGTTCTTAAGTTTGACAATTAGTCAATTCAATTTAATATTAAAGCTAACAACACAAGATTGGTTCTTCTAAACCAAATTGCCTATGGTATGTTATGTTTATGCATCAAGTAGAGAAAAAAAATGATGCACTGACATTCTCTTAAAACGAAATAACATAATTCCTACATTTTCTGTCCTGTTTGAATAATGTCTATATTGTCAGTGCTATTTCTAACATATGTGCACAGCCATACAATAACTTTTTTTTATTTACAATACAATTACCTACTATTTTATGTTTAAAATAACTAATCATTGATATTTATTTATTTATACTTATATATTTTAATGAAGCATACCTATTAAATTATTTTGTATTACTTTATTATTATTAAAATAAACTTCTTACAATATTCTTAACCTACTTATTTAATTAAATACTTTATATATTTTTACAGCAAGTTTATCTGAAGATGATACTCCAGTTAGGTCTAAAAAACAACAAAATAGTTCTGGATTCAGTGATTTTTGCATTAAAGATATTAGGCTCAAAGACTTTGGAAGGCGTGAAATTGAATTTGCTGAACAAGGTAATGAACAATATAGTTATGCATATTATATAAGCTAGATAATAATTAAAAATATTTTTAATTGTCATTTATTTATACATGAAAATCCTTGGTATTCATCACATATGTGACATAATAGTGGACAATTTAGTTTAATATCTGCCCTACATTATTAAATTATACTTTTTTATACTGTGTATCATAAATATTTTATATTTATACTAACAAAAAAACCAGTTTATATCTCAATATTTTTATAGCTACTGACCACTACCTCGCAATATGTATTTTTCACAAATGATTATTTTGCCTGATAGGAATGGACAAATTAAGGTTTCTGTACTATTATTGACTGTGTATTTCAATGGTTCTCAATATTTTTCAACACTTCAATACTTTATCTTCCACTCTTAAGAGTACATCGCATCCCCATATGCTGTATTCATCTTTCACACATACAACAAAAACTGTTTTGCTGCGGGAAAGAACCTAGAATGCTACAATCATAACTAAAGAACAACTTTTTCACCAGATAAAAAGGAGAACTGTTGGCTGTACAATTTTGTTATTATTTATTCGATATTGGAACTTCAAAAAAAATTATTTAAGTTTGAAAAACACAAATAATAATGGATTTTGAAACAATAAGAACTTTTCTCTTATAAGTGATATCAAAAAAATAAAAATAATATTGCTCAGCCAAAGTTCTCCTTTTTACGTGGTAAAAATTTAGTTTCTTAGTTATGACTTATGACTATCTTTCTCGGATGTATATTTGTAAGACGGAGACAACACATGCATACGGGTGCGATATCCTCTTAATCCCCTTAATATCATATATGATGCGACCATAAAAATAATTTTTGTTTTATGTTATTGCTTATCATAATGTATTTTTGAGTAGTTGGCCACCCACTCAAAATATGTATACAATGACGCCTAGGCGTCATAAAACTTTGTTTATTGTGCCACTATTTCAATAATTAAAACCAAATAACATAAAAATCCAAGTAAAAATAAATGTTAGTGACACACATCACAATGTTACGCAACTCACCCGTTTACAACCATGGATGTATTGACATATTGTGTTGTCGCCTTTGTAACATAATATTAGCTCATGAGTTTTATTTTATTACACGATCGGAGATATTTTAAAAATTATAAATAAGCACAAATTGTACGATTCATTTAGTAATAAATGATGTGTCTTCAATGTTGTGGTGATACAAAAATGTATATAAAACAAAAAAAGATTAAGGCTACTGGAGTATTACTAGGTAAATCAAGTTAGGCGCCAATAAATTGTGTTGTGCACTGGGTGAATACAAAATCAAATTATCCCATAATAAAACCAAAAATGCTTTACTTTGTGGCAGTTAAAATCTTAGTAAGAACCACAAACTAAAAAAGCATTTTCAAATGCCAAGTTTCTAAATATGTTTTATATTTTTATATTATTTAATATTTCCTGTATTTTCATTAACATAATTGATAAATTAAATATAATAATACATTTTATCATATAATATTTAATTAATCAATTATGGTCTTGAAAATATAAAATATAGGTAGGCGTAGGTTAATCATTAAACAATAGGTACTTAAAATAAAATAAATATTTAAAACAATTTACTATCATTGTAAAATATTTTGTAATCTTTATCTATAGACACTCCTTATTAAACATCTTATTTTGAAGCCTAGATGTATAAATTAGTAAACCATAAAAAATTAATGAAACATAACAAATTAATTGTTTATAACATTTACCAAAGAGATCTTAATCTAGACTGGAAATTTTTCAGAATGTAAATTTTTTAATTAATTATAGTTTATAATATTTATATAGGATTTTAAAATACATTGTTAATACTAATAGTTTTGTTTATAATTAAAATATTTTAAAAGACCTCGGTGATACACTAATTATTTTAATTCAAAGTAATTTTTATAATATGTTATGTTTACATAATTAGTACAGTTTGATTTCAAAATGAGAAGTATAAAGAGCAGTTTTGGTATAATGTGTTTTGTGAAAAGTAAACAATAAATGACATAGGAACATCCAATTAACATAAACTATTTAAATCAATTATTTAATATTTTACATTCTGAATACTTTTTGTTGAAAAAAATGTTTTTTAATTTAATTTGAGAGGTGAGACTCCATGTTTCTGAAAAGACACTTTAATATACTTTAAATATTTAAAAAAGTTAACTACTGATTAACATTAATTAGTTTCTAAAAGATCATTAGTATTAACAATGAGTGTAGTATATAAAGCAGTCTTATACGTTTATGCATACTACGCTTATTTAAGACAGCAACAACTTTATTATATAAACTAAAGGAGCTAAACGTGATCCACTAAGGTTAAAATTTGCTATGACAGAGACAACATATGCAGGTCCCATGTCCTCTTAATAACTATTTTCCTTATTAACTATACAATTATAGTATATTAAAAATTTAATTGTAATTTACATTTACATTTCCCAGAAGCTCAGGATAATGTCCATCTGCATCTGCTAAATTTGGTCTGTCTTGTATAGTAAAACAGTATATTTATTACCTTTTATATTATTTATGTACTATTTCAATACTAGCAAATACCATAGTTATATACTATAAAATATTGATAATGATGTATTGATACAATATTTAATCAATGATATAATAATATAATATGTGGTAAAAATGACATTCACTTAATTTTTTAGTAAATATGTGGTAGTCCTAATTATTAGGCATAATAATATATTTTATTTTTTCTACAACTAAACATTAGTTATTGTGTTTTCGCTAAATTTAGTGTACAGTTTTTATTTTTTAATAACATAATCAACATTAAACTTTTAATAATCATTCCATTTACCCCATTAAAGATTTTAATATTTCATGTGTTGTTTCCGTCTTACGAGTGCATAACATACCAAATTGTACGCTTAGCAGAATACGTATAGCTTCGTGGGTTTAAATATTAGTGTGAATTTACCTCTTATAAAATCCAAAGGTAAGATAATTATCTAGGCAACTTCATGGGCTTTTTATTATATTTTAATTTTAATGTGAGCTGAGTATTTTAAAATTGTTATTATTTTGTTCATCTTAAAATACTCATAACTCGCTTTAAAATTAAAATTTAATAAAATGCTGATGAGATTGCTTAGATGGTAATCTTATCTTTAAATCTTATAAGAGATTAATTCACTCAAATTGTTAAATTAAACTAAGCTACATAGCCTACATGTGTCCTGCTGAGAGTAAAATTTGCTATGTTACGCATTTATAAGATGGAGACATCACATGCAGGTATCATGTCTAAAGTGACCATGTATTTTTTTAATCAAAACGGGACAAAAAAAAAAAAAAATCATAATTATTTGTTACAAACAAATATTTTTAATTTAATAATATTATTAGCAAATTTCTGTGGTACTTATGTTTTTAAAGGACAAAAAAATTAAATTAACTTATTACACTTACTACCTAACTTATTATAAACAAAATGTTTTCGTGTAATAATTACAAAGTTAAATACTTGTATATTTTTCGTTTGAACAAATTTGTTTCTATAAATCTGGCGATGACTTCAGGAACGAGGAAAATTCTGTACAAGATATTTTAAAGTTCACTTTTGTTAGCAAAACATACCTAACACACATAAGAAATAAGATATAATAAAAACTATATTTTGTCAACGAACATTTATTTTCATTATTTTTTTTTGTCTAATTTTTGAAAACGGGACATTTTAGCGTCCCGAAGATTTCCCAGGGGACAACGGGACAGAGATTCAAAAAACAGGACGTATGGTCACCTTAATCATGTCCTCTTAAGGAATATCTCTTAAACAACAAAACAAATTAATATTTAAAAAGGGGGTAAGTGGATGTCGCTCTGCTGTACAGTAGGTACAAGTGGGTGATTGTATAATGAATTGTATTAAACTTGAATTCAATGATATAATATATTAATATCATTGTATAAGAAAAACAATTCTGAGCGAGACGGTTTGTCAGTCTTTATATTTTATATTTTTATTATTTATTATGTCATGTAAGTTGAATTAATATTATAATATTATTATTTTTACTCGTTTTTATGGTGATATACAAGGCGTTAGAAGTTAAAATCCCTTTATTAGCGGTTTTTTGTAATTTTTCGGTGGTTTTACCAGTGACATTAAATAACTATTGATAAAATCGAAAAATGCCCTCTTTAAAGTACCATCTTGATCCAGTTTGTTAAAAAATAAAGTTCTATATGTAGAAATCAAAGCTCTCCTCTGGTAGACATTTTGGATACAGGATATAAAAAATAAACACTATTGTAAAACCACTAGCTTGCTTTCTCCTCTCAGAATCTAAAATGAAATATACTAATGGATTGAAATTACTCTTACTCGTGTAATATCTAATAAAATATTATTGAAAATGAGTAACCTTTATTATTTATGATTTTTAATGTTTTTAAGGATTTTAATGTAGGAAATTTTTGTGTTGTATGATTATGTGAATAATACCATACAGTCAAAGCTAGTTATGCAATAATAAATATGACATTTTTGTTTGTTATGAAATACCAACCTACTTTTTCTATTTTTTATAAGATAAAATATGAAAAAGTGAAATGGTCAATCTTTATTTACCAAATTTAATATGTTTTCCGATTTCCTATCCCATTACTAGTTAAATCAATGCTAATGTATCATGAACATTCAAGTCTAATGCTCATGATTAGTTGGTTGAACAAGTATATTGGTCCTGAATCCCTTGATGTAACATTAAACATATCATCATAATTCTAAATCCCAATGACAATATAATATTATATTTACTAACAGCCTCAGCAGTAGAGTTGTGATTAAGACCAATACAAAACAAAAATAATAGATATACGGTAAAACCTCCTTATAACGGAATCACTTGGTACCAACTGATTTTTCAGTTATAGTTGTCTAAAATTTACGAGATATAGGTTATATAGGACTGTTGTTATTTTCAGTTGTAAGGAGATTTCCATCTTATAGGGTTCCATTCCAATATAAGGTTATTTTACTGTATACCTATTATATTTTTAATATTTAACCTGTCTTAGTATATCATACAAATTTAATAGTTTTTATTAAAAATCTTATTTTGCATAGTAAAAAGAACGTTTCTTTTTACTTTACTTAATTTTTTATCATAGATTATTTTTAAAACCTTTTTTGACAATAACTATCCATCTTATTCGTTTACTTATTAGAGTTGAATTGTATGTTGTTTGCAACTCAGCAGATTAGTAAATTGACAATTAAAATATACTGTACCTATATTAGTATTATATAGGTTGATCGGACATCCCGTTTTCTACATTAAAGTTCCGTATTTTAAAAGTATATCCCGGTGTCTAGACAAATGCTTTCACGACTCTTAAATGTTCTATTTTTTAAAAATGTTGAAAGTTGTACATACTTAAATAAAATATGCAAAAAAAATTACAACAGCAGTATTATTGACAAAGACACATATTTTTCTACCAGCGGTTAATTATGGATATCTAGTACCTATATTAATATCATTATAGAAATACTATAGTCTTTTTTTTATTCAATAAATAATGATATTTTGATATTTTATCTTAGTAAATATAAAATTAATAATTAATCCCGTGATTTAAGTATTTTATATCTGGTCACCCTATTATATCTAGTTTGCATATATAACTTACTATATTAGTCACATACTGATATTTAAAATCTTTGTTTAGAAATGCCTGGTTTAATGTCACTAAGGAAACAAGTGATGGAAGATAAGCCATTACGGGGAGCCAAAATTATTGGATGTACACCTATCACTGCACCAACTGCTGTTAGTCAATACAATTTTTATTTGTCAAATAATTTTTAATTCTTGTATATTGTTTATATTATTTTATAGGTATTAATTGAAACATTGGGTTCTCTAGGCGCTGAATTGAGATGGAGTGCTTGCAATATTTATTCAACTCAGGTTCTTATAACAATGTTGTTTTAATTATTAGAGTTAATTCATTACATAACTATTATAAGTGATTAAAATTTGTGATTATTGTAAAGAGTTTTTTATTTTTTAGAATGAAGTTGGTGCTGCTTTAGCGGAAGCAGGTAATAATGGGCATCACAAGTTATATTACTGATATGAAAAAAATAAGGCACATGAGATACTATGATGAAGTGTGAACCCTATACAATTGTGTGTCTGTTTGGTAAATGTATGGGTTTTTGGATGAAGTGGTCTGAAAAATTTTTCAAAAATCCATATATTACCTAACGATTTGATACTCGTGTGATTCAAAACCATTTATAAGACTTTTCCAATCACCAATGTAATTTTCTCATGATAACTTCATTCCTAAAACTGTCTCCTAAATTGGTTCTCATTCATGAATCTCCCACAATCCATTTTATACAATATTCTTATTCTTTATGACCTATTTACTAGACAACCTTTTGGAATCAGTTTTGTCAAGGGTTAAATATTAAGATAATTTGGCTTTGTATTCACTTGAACTGTCGTTTGACTTATTCAAAATGGAAGCTTCCTTTGTTGAACAAAGTATTAACTACAGATTATATATTAAACAATTTATCAATCAATCAATTTAATATGTTTGTACTATGTGTTAATACTCTTTACCGAATGAGAAGGAATCATGCCAACTACTAAAGACACTAGCCAATATTCAAAGGCCAATACCATTACTCATTTGAAGTAATGGTTTGGTGGAGAGGAGAGTGTAATAAGATACATTTTCATCACCCCATAAACTTTGATAAAAAATAATCATTTTGTGAAGACATACTTATGATCAATTTAGTCAAATTATTTAATATATAAGTTCTAATTTAATACTTTAATAAATCTAATATTTTCCTTCAGCATTACTTCCTCTATTAATATATATATATTTTATTATAAATACAAGGCCGCGACCGTGTTGGTCATTGGCTGTAATATTAATATTAACTACATTCAACTTAATACTGATTTTCTATTATATTATGAAAAGTATCTATTGTTATTACAACCTACATTTAAATTAATAAGGCCATGCTTAAACTGACTATTAAAGATACTCCATTCTACATACTGTGCAAGTGTAACTCATTATCTACTCTAAGACAGTCAATTGATTATAAGAAAGTTATTCTGGAACTGTAGAATATAGGACGAAAATAATAAAAAATACTTACAATTTCAGATGCATCAGAATTACTCTTACATGTATAAACCAAAGCAAAAAATGCTTAAGACATAGTTAACTTATTTGTGTATATAATGTGCCTCTAAAGTCTAAATGGATAGAACCCTAGTAAGAACAACCTATAACTATTAAAACTTAACTAACTATTATTGTTTTTCAATTTTATGGTTTTTGATTTGAATGATGTGGTAACTAGTAATAACTGTAGTCTATAATCTTAGTGTAATTTTTAATAATTATAATTTTTTTATTATTTGAATCAAGTTATATTTATATATTTTTAAAGAGTATGTTACTATGTCACCGACTATGGGTATTGGTGGTTCCCTCTCATTTAGAACTGAGTATAAACACATATATTTGTTGTAAATTGCAATACTTTGTACAAAGGTTTACCACCATTATTTTGTAACGTTATTTATTTGTTAGAAATTAAATGAGATTGTTTTTATTATTAATTATATTTTGTTGATTACATTCTTATGGATTTATTATTTAATTGCTACATACATATTACTTCTATTTAAAACTTTAAAAATTATTTTTCGTAATAATTTTAAATTATTAATTAACTTGATGTTATTTTCTTTTTTATTTATTTATTTAATTGGCTTGGCCCTTTTTTACTTATACATAATGTGTATTAAAAGTAAACTATAAAGACAATTAAGTAAATGCCATAATCGAATTCATTATTTATATGTATTTTTCAATTATCCTTAACTCTGTTATGTTATTGAAGTGTTTTATTTTTTACAATTTTTATTATCACTAATTATAATTTTTTTTAAATTTAATATAACTTTTTTGTGTACTTATATCCTATGTACAAAGCTGCAGGAAAACATTTCATAATCCTTGTATCGTAAATGAATGGTTATTTTTTTCTGATATTGTTTTGGTGGTAGAGTTGTTAACCTCGCCCAGTATTTTCCACTGATACATATATATTTATATTACTTGGTATAGATGATATTGTCATCTATGTTCAGTTAATGTTTAAAATGACAATGACTCTTCAATTGTTTGATAGTCTGAGATTGATGTGAATGGCTATGAATGGTATCAATGTAAATTTCCAACAGGAAGATGCAATTATGATTATTTTACATAACTAAAATAATTATTTTATAACAGCTTTATTGTTCCTTGAAATTGCATTGTCTAGGAATGGCCACAAACAATTGGTTTTACAGTGGCATCAGGTAGAACTCCGCGATCCAGAAATGATATTAAAGACAGCAGCTGTTTTCATGAAATTTCTTTTCAATTCGATTGTAACAGTTTCAAGATGATAAATGTTATCTTCATATTTTTTTAATCAATAAGAAAATTGCATTCATATTGATGTTGTTAAATACACTTTTACTTTGGTACTTGTTACTTTTACTTTGCACAGATAGCCTTGTAAAAACTATAATATACTGCATTTGGAACTAAATATAGGATAATACATAAACTAGGTTAATAAAATCGGTTTGGTAACAACAATAATCACTATAAAATATATAAGGTACAGTTATATGATAAATGAAGACCTACAACATTGCCTAATATATTACAGATATAATCATAAAACTACAACACATCCGACATCATCTAACTTTACCATGCATTCTTGATAATAGAATTTTGAAAGAACGACAATTTTAACAAACAAAATAATATAATTCTAAAAATCTAGACAAAATTATTATTTTTGTATGGATAGTAGAGTTAATATCAAAAAAATATCTCGAAACACTGGTTTTTTTTTTTATTAATGCAGTTACTACATTTTAGGATTTCCAATATTTGCATGGCGAGGTGAATCTGTTGATGATTTTTGGTGGTGTATTGAAAAATGTTTTGAAGGCAAGAATTGGAAACCTAACATGATTTTAGATGATGGAGGAGATGCAACTAATTTTTGTCAAGCAAAATATCCTAGTATTTTTAAAAATTTAATTGGTAAATATCTATATGCAGATCATAGTTTATAATTATTTATTTAGACACTTTTAGAAGTTGTGAGTTTTGAATTGATTAAAACTAATATTTAATTTAGTTTGTTTTAGTTATCAGATTATTATTTGTTATCACATTTAGTTAATTTAGTTAACATTAGTCACCAAACTATTTCAGTATCACAACAGGCTATATAGAAGCAAAAAAAAACCCTTACTCCTATTTGTAGCAGATTTTAGACCAATATTAGTATAGGTCGCGTATAATCAAATAGAAAAAGTACACATGTCTAAGATAAAAGCCATTAGTTTTGTTATTTTAATTTCTAAGTAAAATAGTATTGTAATTTATTGATTAGTTATTTAATATTTCTTTCCATATGCAACAGTAAATTATTGCTTTCAAATGCACTTAAAATTTCCTCTGCGAACAAAACAAATGGGTATTCCTAGTTATCTTGTCCCTTTTTCAATATAAATAATATCGAATTTATCAACTAATCTATTTAAGATAATGGTTACAGAGACATTAATTATTTTTACTAGCAGGCAATATGTAATCCTTTTATAAATGTCCACTGAATTTTAAGCTAAAATTATTGGAGTAAATACATTTTTTTTTCAATTTAAATTAGGAACTGTCAATCAATGACTGAAAATTCTAAAGAATATATTCAAACAGCCATTGATTGACTGTTCCTAATTTAAATTGAAAAAAAAATGTATTTACTCCAATAGTTTTAGCTTAAAATTCAGTGGACATTTATAAAAGGATTACATATTGCCTGTTAGTAAAAATAATTAATGTCTCTGTAACCATTATCTTAAATAGATTAGTTGATAAATTCGATATTATTTATATTGAAAAAGGGACAAGATAACTAGGAATGCCCATTTGTTTTGTTCGCCGAGGAAATTTTAAATTTTGAAAGCAATAATTTACTGTTGCATATGGAAAGAAATATAACTATTAAGTAGTACTTAACTTACAATAGTGATAATAGATTGTTATTAAAAATAAATATGCTGAAAAAAATAATGATAAATTACTAAATTATTGTCTTCTGACTTTGAAATTAAGTTACAAACAATGGCGTTATTCCAGTTAAAAGGGGAGGGGGACATTTTCGACCGGCCCAAATGGGATCTTAAAAGAACTCCCAACGTTTTGCTCGCAACCACATATTAATATTATGTTCCATTTTCATCATACAACATACACATATACATACCAACTTTCTTGAACGTCTCCGCATGCGTCTAAATATAAATATTATATTACAACTATTAATTAGTAGTCACCAATTTATCATTATGACAATAATTTCTTAAAATGTAATATAATATTTTCAAAAAATATGTAACTAGATATGTTTTTGAGCTAATAAAATATAAAAGAATGGTTAAACAGGCACCGGCCCATCGTCTGCTTTTAAAATCAGACAGGGGTAAATGCCCACTACACAAATGACGCCACTGGTTACGAAACAAAATATTTTTATTTAATTTTGAGTTAAAATCTACCTAAAACAATATAATTTTCAAAAGGAATGAACTAGGAAATGTGTTTATAATATTGTTATTATCCACGAAAAAGGCGCATTTTGTGGATAACTTAAAACAGTTATTCATAACAATCCTTTCTTTTGATTAGTAAAATTGAGTTGCGTTAAAACTAAGTAGCAAAACTCTTTCCTATATCTTAAGTGTACCATTATATTTAAATAACTACAATTTTAAATCACGCTTTTATAAAACCAACTCATAAAAATAGTTGTAAAAAATATATTATTAAAGAGCAATACCCATTTTAAATTATATTAAATGTTTATTAGGAATAGTTGAAGAGAGCACAACTGGTATTCATCGATTATACAAATTGTTGAAAGCGGAAAAACTTTTAATGCCAGCTATTAATATCAATAATTGTGTGACAAAAACTAAATTTGATAACCGTTATAGTTGTAGGGAATCTGTGATTGTAAGGTATGAACGTAAATGGTTTTTGTTATTAATTAATTAATTAATGTATCTTATAATATTATTATAAGTTAATATTTTATATTACAATAGCTTAAAAAAATGTACTGATTTGATGTTTGGTGCAAAACAAATTGTATTATGTGGTTATGGAGAAGTGGGAAAAGGATGTTGTCAATCTTTAAAGGGACTTGGTTGTATAGTATATGTCACAGAAATTGATCCAATATGTGCTTTGCAAGCATGGTATGTATTTGTATTTATTTTTGTATAATTATTATTACTGTATACTAATGCATACTAATAATTGAGTAATAGGTATCAAATTAAAACAAAATTGAAATGCTATAGAATGGCTAATCAAATTCATACAATGTAGTTTTAATTTATAAAGACTTAATATGGCGCTATTTACTATTAAAGAATAATCGTTCATCATATAAATATTTTTTTTATAAATTTGTTTATATTTAATTTTAACTTTTAAAAACCCGAAAGTATTAGTGGATTTAAACATCTAAAACAATAAATTAAATGTTAATATTTAATTATGTATCAGATAATGCTCAGCAATACATAGGTATATCAATATTTTGTAAAGAATAAAGTAAATAATATTTATGTTATTTTGTTGTGTTAAACAATTTCTTTCAAATGTCTTGAATTAACAAATTTATTTAATTATTTTAATGATTTCCTAAAATTTGTTTCATAAAAACAAATTCTATTATTATTAAATTTGAATAAATATAAGATATATATTTTATGATTTATAAACATATTAAGAGAGAAATAATCAAATAATTATTCTTTTAGCTATAGAGAAAAATGAATTATGCATAGAGATTTTACAGAATTTATAGTATAAATATATTTATAATCTATTATTTTAATGAGTTTTCGGTTTTCTGTTTTATATTGTTTCAGCATGGATGGATTTAAAGTTGTTAAGCTTAGTGAAGTAATTCGGCAAGTGGATATTGTTATCACAGCTACTGGTAATAAAAATGTAGTTATTCGAGAACACATGGATAAAATGAAGTCTGGTTGTATTGTGTGTTGTATGAGTTATTGCCATAATGAAATTGATGTGGTAAGTAATACTTTGATACCAAAAATTATCTGTATAACAGTGTGTGTTGAATGTAAACTCTCCCTTATTCTTAGCAATACAAATTGTACATTGTTTTTTTTTATTACTATTAATTGACTTGCATCACAAATATATATTTCAACATTAATCTGTACCAATAAGATATAGTAACAATAGAGGGTTTGTCAAACACTTAACTGTAAAGTATTCCTTATAGATATTTGTATATAGGTACCTGTATAATAATTCTATTTAAAAATCCTTGTTTTTAGTCCTTCAAACTGTTTTTTAAACTATGTGACTTACAAATTAACCTACTAAGATCAGAGTTAAAATTACATTTTTAACTTAAATAAAAAAACACATAAATTACCATTTCAGTGAAAAAATTGTTCTAGCAAATAACTTTTAAGTAGGTATTGTAATAACGTAAAACGAGACTGAGTTAAAATGAGAGTATTTATGGGCATGTGATGAAATTTGTCTTTACATTTTGATTAATAGTACATAGATACTTGATTGTTGAAAATGTATTGGTGATTACTGATTACATAATTAATTTAATCAATGATTGTCTAATTTTTTTCGATTGGCAGGAGGTTTGAGACTCCTTTGTAAATAATTAAATAATACAATCCGTTAACATTATACCTAGTTATTTTATACCTATGTATCTGTGTTCACAGTCTGAGCCCGTTACTATTCAATACACCATACAGATGTGTTTTCTTGAATGATCGTTTTATACCGATATGTATCATTAGTCATTAGTCATTACACTTACAGTTTCTCAAGAATGTTGACTTTATACTTGTATAATATTATGGTCTAGGATGTCCCATCCGTTTATATAATATTATCTATACAATAAGCAGAATTTTCCTGGAAGATAAGCTAATAAAATAATTCTATCCATGAAAAATTGTGGAAAACAACATTGACAGACTCAAAGTGGTGTCCTCTATAGATGAAACAATTTCGTATTACTTTTGTACTTTTTTCAATTAGAATCTATACACATGTATCGTGTTCCATGTTTTCAGTTCAATGAATTGTTCCAATTAACATTTTCTTGAAATTTGATGAACATATCTACTATAATTTAATGAAAAATTTATTTATGCATTGTACCATAGTCTGCTATACTGGCTTACTATCACAAAAATAGAAAAACTGGTCTAATTAGCTGGTTTTGGGTGAACAATGGTAGACCATAGCCCTTGATAATTGATATATTTACTGTAGACTATGTAATACACAGTACTGCAACCATACTATCGTTTACCCTACTTAATACTAATTAGGTATGAAACCTATTATGCCAATTTGCGAGAAGTATATGTTTATTGATGTCTGTTACTATTGATCTTTGTTTATTAAATGTCATTTTTTTAATATATTTTATTGTAGGAGTACCTCCAGTGAAAGGTTTCAACTCAAGTGAATAATTGTTCCCTGTTAATTAAATATTTGTAGTCACAAATTGTTATTGTATATATTTAAAGATTGCATTTTAAAAAAAAATTATATTTTATAGAAACAAATGTAAAACGGCGTATTGGCTTGATCATGGACATTAGAGAAAGGACTCTGCTGTACTTAGCAAATAAAACAATTTAAGTAGTCTGAAGTTAACGAATCCACCTAAATAATGCACTTCAGACAGATGTCATGTCGTTTTTATATCTACTGTACAGGAAAAGTATTGGTTTTTTTTGTTTTTTTTATCTAAATGGCAAAACATATGTATAATGACTTTAGAAAATAATTTTAAGACCAGATTTTCTTCTATTAAATTAATGTATTTTCAATAACATATGACTTAATATAGAAAGAAATAAAATTTTTTTTTAATTCTTTCCATTTGTTATATGTAATAATAAAATACTAATGTATGTAGTGTTTAGTTCACAAGTATAATAATATTGGTAATTAATACGATTAAAGATAATAATATACTGGTTAGAGGTTATAGACTACTTATTAAGTGAAATATCAAATAACTAACAATAAGTAATTTGTAGCTTGCATAGTTACAAATACTATATCCAACAATACAGGACACTTAATGGTAATGGCTAGTGACACAGCGATTAAGTGGTTGCCTATACAAAATACTACTTAAATATAGCATTTTGTATATGTAGATGAATAGGTAACTACTAGTGAAATTGAGCGCCACAGACCACAGTGTCTTCAAAAAATTAGATAAGGTTCCTGTATTGTCGTATATAGTATTTGATAGACATTAAACTTGTCCTATAGGTACTACTAGACAGGGCATCCAGACACGGCTTTGTTGGGGGTTGTAGTCTCGCGATAGAGAGTTTGAAGTTATATTATAATACAGATAATTATAATTAAAATTATTTTAATAACGAAAAATTTTGTACGCATGTGCTGTGTCACATCAAGGGCAGTGCTCTGTCTAGTAGTACATATTAATATATGGTAACTCTCCAAACGGGCCGTAAACCTATGATTATTGATATATATGTGTAAAATCAGAGTGATTGACAATCGAACAACAATAATGACATATAAAGTTATAATTTAATGTAATTTTTAATTTATAATCTTATTTCAAAAATTTACCTATAATGAATATTGACAATATTAATAATATTGATACAACTAAATTGAAAAGACTATATTAGGATTTGGTGTGAAATCTGTTATATAAGCCGTCCAGAAATGTACGTTCATGGTTTAAATATACAAGGTTATTCCACATAGACCTATATTGTTATCAAACAAAATTAAATGAAAGCGTAAGGGTCCATGGCATAAGTATAGACTACCATACCCTTAGGCTACCATTTTAATTCCTTTACTTGATAAAATAATATAGTGGGGTACTAGTGCAATAACATGGTATATTTGGTTTATTTATACCATTGAACTCGTGACATATAGAGATGTTCCTATATGTATCATAAACGTACCTACTCAAAAATGTAATGTTGTTGAAAATATAAAAAGAAATTATGCTTGCCAACAACAGTAAACACTTTTAGAGTATCTTCGAAATATTACTCACAACTTAGCATATATTATTTTATGTAACCATATAATCTACAAGCTACAACCATATTTTTAGAATTTTTTTATTTCATTTTTTTACGAATATATTTTACAATTATTATAAATATTGTTTAATGAATATTATTAACTTTGTCAATATTCTCTACGGGTAGATATTTAAAATAAGAATATAAATTATATTAAATTAGTACTTTATACATTTCTGTCAGATGATTATTCTGTTGATATTTTGACCACAAATTAAAATATACTGGATGACCAACGATACATGATAAAGAGATCCTAAACTGAATTTTCAAGTGTAAAGTATACCAGAGCTCCAGGAGAAATAAATGTATACTATATACTAATAGATTGACTATTTAAAAATATATATAATATTTTAATATCATGTAATGATTTTTTTAAAGAATTTAAGCATTTAGAAATTAATTTAACTTGTGCTATTTACAGATTTGGCGGTAAATTATTTTGTAAAAGTTGCCACTAATATGATAACAATGAGCTTGATCTGGCAAGTCAAATTTTGTTCCCTAAAAATAGTTGTTTATGTTAGTTGTTGAATATGCAGTATATTTCAATTCGTAATTTTGGCTATCGGTTGATTGAGATCCAAAATAAAAAAAATCAAAGTTTATTGATAAGAGCTGTAAACTCTTTCACCCACTCTGTGATAAAAAGTGATCGAAAATATTACTGCAGTTAAATACTCCGCTAGGTTTGCTGCCTACCCAATAGAGAATATTAAGAAAATGTTAGTATTTGTGTGGACCTAATGGTAATTTTATTTAAATTATTCATAATATTTCAACATTCTTTTGTAAAAATACCTTATAAGATGATATTTGTATCTAGAAACTATAAATTATGATATATATTTATTGATACATACATATAAATAATATAAAAAGTAATATGAATTAAAATATTATATTTATTTTTGATATTCATTATTCATAAATAATTTAATATATTTTTATTACATTGCTCGAAAGAAAATAAAACTCGCATCATTTTTATTCAAATCCCTATTTGCTCTTGAAATTGTTTTATTAAAAACATCAATATTATTCTACAATTTTAGCCATGTTTAAGTATTTAATATTAAACTAAAAATATACCTCAGTTGGATAAAAAATAGATGTAATATCAAATATGGATACTTTTTACCTTCAGTCATTATTCTAACCTGTACCACACCTAACAACAAAATATATATTTTAGGCATTTTATAATGTTTTAATACAACATGTGTTTTTTTAACACAATAAAAATGATAAAAATTTGATTTTAATCTAGTGTCACAATATTTCATTAAATAACTTTTGTTCATACAAATTAATTAATGCACATATTGTAGCTATTTGTGTATTTCATTGTTTGCTTTACTTTACCAGTCTTATAATATAGTATTTTAGTAAATGTATTTAAGTACTTTTATAGTATTTAGAGTATTTTTTAAATTAAGTACATATTTAAAAAGTATTTTAAATACTGTCGTGGTTGCATTTATATTTGAAAATTAAATACTTTTATATAAAAACTTATCAAAATTCAAAACAATTATACTACAAAGTACAAAGTTCCAATGATACTTAAGTATGGCATTTCAATTTTGAAATCATGATTACTCTTTACAAAATTAATTTCATACCAATCGTTATAACACTCATGCAACATACATAGTTTCTATTATTAGGTATATTATATAAATTAGGAAATTATTTAATATATATATATATATTATATCTTATTCTATAAGTAGTATATTTTTGGAAATAGAATAGATTCGATAGATGGAAGTCTGGTCTTAAATAGTTATTCATATAAGTTTAACCATTTAGATTAAAATAATAAAAAACAACAAATGTCTTATTCTATACATAATAAATAATTCTGCAAATGTGTATAATTTGGACCATATTTTTTCGCTCCGGCTTGCTGTGTTCTTCGTCTGATGTTCATGGGTGTGATAGAATAAATTTCATGGTTATTTGATAAGTTTTATATCATATTTATAATTTTTATAATGATAAAATATAAGCAGTCATTACGATATGTTGATGTATAAATATATAATTTGAAGTAAAAAATAAAATATGGTAGTAAATTTATTGTGAATACAGTGTGTTTAACAATAAACATAAAAGAAATATTTCAATCGCATAATCATGAAAAACACTTGAGTTTTTTTACTGGACTTACTCCTATATCTATTTTTGAAAAATTTAAATTTTTATATAAAATATCGTTTCCCCCTTTTTAGATTCTGGACCTATGAATGTATTTGTTATATAATGATGTGTGTTTCTTCTAATTTTTTTTTATTTGTGTCTGTTATCATCTTTTAGGACAATAAAAATACTTAGATTTTCTTTAACATCATCTTTTCTGATAGGAAATTGAAACTTATTGGTAGTTTGGGGGTCCAAAGTAAAAAATTCCCAATAGCTTTCAAGAGCGCCAGGAAATAAAAGACAACAATTTAAAAAAATACGGCAAATATTACGCAAAATCTATTTTCAAAAAAATTGATTTTGGTTTTTGGAAAAACTCTAAAACAAATGACCGTAAATACATTTCAAACGACCGTTGCATTTTCTTATACATAATACAATTTTCAAAATATTTTAACTCGTTTTGAGTTGTTTACAGACATATTCAGTTTTCAATTTTATTAGTTTTTTTTTCTATCTATATCAATACAATTTTATTTGTTTTTTCAAAAAGCTTGAAAATTGAATACAAGGCTCCAAATATATTGTTACAATGACAGTTCAAAAATATTAAAAATACAGTCAACATTTTTTTTATAAGCATTTAAAGTTAGAATGGCTTAAAAATCGCGATGATGTGAAAATGTTTAAGTATTTATTAACTATGAAATAAAATATTTTTAATGAATTTTTATTATTTCTAATGTATTAGTATTATATTTATTATTAGATATAATATTTGTATTTTTAATATTATAATATTCTTAACAAATGGTGTTGTGAAATTATTTAATTATATTATGTAGTATATAATGAAAAACTTTAGTGATTATATATATTTATATAACCTATATTAAACGTTTACAAATATAATAATATCATCTACTTATTGTTTTAGTTTCTGAATTCTGAGTTTTAATTATTACTTATAATTAATTAATATATTTTTATTTCCAACAAAGGCTGCATTACGCACACCAGAGCTAAAATGGGAAAAGGTACGTTCACAAGTAGATCACATCCGCTGGCCTGATGGAAAAACCATGATTTTACTTGCTGGTGGTCATCATGTAAATTATACGTGTTCTAGCATTCCTTCATTTGTCACTTCTATAACCGGTACAACCCAGGTAAATCTTAAATTTAAATTGTTTTTATTTCATGTACAGTATTTTATTTTTAATGGTTTTTTTTTTAAGATACTTGCGTTAATGGAACTATTTAATGCTCCAATTGGTCGTTACAAGAGTGATGTATATTTATTACCAAAAAAAATGGGTGTGTTATCATTCAAATATTATTTCATTTATGAAATTATAAAATTATAATTTTGTTTTAGATGAGTATGTGGCAAGTCTTCACCTAGCTACATTTGACGCTCATCTTACTGAACTTAGTGAGGAACAAGCCAAGTATATGGGATTACCAAAAAATGGTCCGTTTAAACCAAATCACTATAGATATTAATCTATACTCTAACAATGCTGGTTTAGAATAAATAATATTTATTATTCACCTTTATGGAGAATAAATTATTATTATATTTATTCACATGCATATTAACAAGGTGTCTTGATATTATTGTGGAAGTGTTAAGAGCTCTAGAATTCCATTTTCCGAATAGACGGGAAAAAAATATTACATTATACACAAGTTGTGTTTATATTTTATACATTAAGTATAAATATATCAGTAATAGTATCTATATTTTTATTACACTATAACAAATAGAGATAAAAGAAAGTATAAAAAATTAAACTTGATTATTTCATTAGATTCATAATATAGACATAGGTGTTCGGTGTACGTGTATCACATTTCAAAGTGTCAATAGAAAAAAATTACTTTCATTATTGATCTAATTTATAAAACAATCATTCATTTGTTTACACTTTAGTAGGAACATACCCTGTACAACTAACCATGTGTGCATCCTGTAATAGATTTAATACGTTTGGTGTCATATGCAGATAAATTTTTACCTTAATTGATCCATTTAATCCTTGTGATAAAGGAACCAATTTTTCAACTATTATTTCCATTCTAATTATTTTTGATAACTTACAATATGAAAGATTCAAACGTATGACATTAATAAGCAATTGTATCAAATATTTAAACATTTTTTTAAAATTAGGTATTTTGATGTCTTAGGTGGAAATCTGGTTAGTTTAAGAATGTTTAAATTTATTAAAAATAAGTACCAGAATATTTTTATTTTAATATTATAATGTAACTTGAATCAATGTAGACGTGCCTGTTAAATATTAATCATTTTAATAAAAAATTTAATATAAGTTCAGTAAGTTTATTTTAAAGCTTGAACCACTGTAGATTAAATATTTTTGATCGATGTAGGTATTAAACTTAAGGAATCCTCACAAAAAATTAAGGATTAATTAATAATAAATAGTAACGGAATAATAAATTGAAACGAAAGTCTGAAGAAAAAAGTTCAAAAAAAAAAACAAAAGGATGAAATAATATATTCACTCATAATATCAATCTACTCTTTAAATGTAATTGTATTTATTAACAGTATTATTTTAAAGTGTGTGGGTAATCTGCATTTACATAATATTTTACTTATATTGTTGAAATTAATGTTATACAAATAACTCTTTCAATGTATAGATTATAAATTGAAAAAATAAATTCTTTTTTTTATACGAGACTAAATTAATCATCCCTGGTGTGATATTTAACATATAAGTTTAAAACTTTATAATTATTGATCTAAATTACCCATTTTAATTATATGTATTTTGTATTTATTGTATTATAGGGTTTTTAATCGTTTAAAAAGCTATAAGTTTATTAAATTTAATCAGATTTTTTTGGTAAAAATAACTGTTAAATTATTTTTTTGTTTAGAGTATCTACACTCAATTTAAGTCGAGAAACATACTTGGTGGCAACTTGATTTCATGTCACCCCACCAAGTAAACCATCTATACGCCCCCTGTATTGTTGTGAATATACTCCCTACACACAAGTTGGTTGTAAGTATGTTTCTTAACTTCAATTGAGTATAGACATGTTTTAGTGAGATTTATGTTTGTTTTGGTATTAAATATATTTTTTTAAGTCATATTTAAAAATATTTTAAGTTAAGTACATATTTTATCAAAATTGATGTGGTTGAATAGGTTTTGTTTCTACACTTATAATTGATTAAAATTTTACTTTTCATGTTTTAAAATAATTGTTTTCATTGTAAAATTTAATAAATTTTTTTTTGAAGAAAAAAAATATTTGAAAATGAACATTTATTTTTTATTTCAAACTCCATTCCTGTATAGGTCAACTTTTTAAGACTTACAATATGCATTTGTATGTTTGATTTGTTTAGATGAATATTTGTTATAATACTATTACTGATTAGTTGCATTAACTAATCAAGTACTCAAATTAAATATGAACAGATTACTAAAATTATTTTACCTTTACTTAAACCATGTTGACTAAATAAATATTAGATGATAGACAATTTAAACTTTGGACAGTATCACTAATTTTAATAGAAACTTCTTTCACCTTGGGTATGATCACGGTCTTAAGACCGTGGTTATAATGATTCCTAAATAATACAATATTGTTAAACAATCAGGGAAGGTTGCCTTCATTGTAAATGTATCTACCTAATAGCAATCAAGTATTTGTATTTTTATATAATATTACCTAATCTTTCTTCTGCCTACCTATGACGCTTGAGAAACACCTCTCTCAGCTCGGGTTTGTATGCTCTAAAAATCATGAAATTTGCGTTTATACTTGATGCACTTATAAGTAGGTATATGTTTGCAATATACATTTATATGTGGTAAAATATGTTTCTAAAAAACCATATTTTATAAAAAAAGTACGAATTTGATTATAAATTAGTCTAAAATTCATTATACAGAAAACATATCACTCATACTTATTATGTTATTATATTTATAGCGCGGAGGGATGCACAGAATCGGCGTGTTACCTCGCTTAACAGTATACTATTATTGTGAATATATTGTATACCTACTCAATGATACTACCTATTTGTTAATACATATCTATAACTATACTTTTCTTTTTTAAAAATGTTTTTCTTATTTCTAATTATTTTCTTGTGAACAAGATACTTAAATCTTCAGGTACCTACATTCTCAATTTTTTACACTATGTCATCCCCAGTCTAGTTTTTTTTTCAAATTCGAGCACTGCCACTTAATTCTTTTAATTGATAAATTATTTATGGCCAACTTTTGTACTTTACTTATGTGTGCATTATGTTAATGTGCCTTAACAGTATCTTTTCGTCCAAAAAGTGTGCTATTCAAAATTGTCTAGATTTATCATGTGACTCCTAAAGTCCTAAAGATTTATAGGTATTATTATTTAGTTAGGTACTATAGAATATGGTTAGTGGTATTTTAATTTTATTTGGATCTCTTTCTTACTAATTATAAATAGGTACACATATCAAATGATCATTGTTGGAAAATTGTACAACTTATAAAAATTAAAAATAGTAAGTAATAAGAATAGCCATATAGCCATCTAACAGCAAAAACAAATTGATGGGAATAATATTATAATTATATTTAACAGTGTTATACTGACATATTACAAAATATAAAATGAATTAATCATATAACATTAAGGGCCGTTCTTACAATGTCCGGACAATGTTGGCATAGGCATGATAATTTTATTGTAGGGGGGGGGGGTTATATCCTATTATGTTCTGGTAGATTACATATTATATTCAAATCTAAAAAAATGTACAGGATGGGGGACTAGACAGGAGTACTTTCAGGTGGGCTATAACAATCTGTGACCCCCCCCCCCACTCATTATACGTCATATTAGACGGTTCTGGACAAGAAAAAAGTCAACAAACAGATAGGTAGGTATAAAAGCATGCCACAGTAAAATCATTAAATTATCCAAAATACAACATAATTTGTATACGAAAATATTTAGTTTGTAAAACGTAGGTAGTAAGGAATAATAATTATAATAATTTATAGGTAGTAAAAGAAATTGTCGAAACGTGATAAATGATAATCCGGTTCAGATAACCAAAAACTGGATACCCATCGCAGTATCACAATTCGCGGTAATTATTGATAAAAAAAATATTGTAACTTGTTAGGTTACAAATATAGTGACTTGATAGAGTCATATCAAGTCACTATAGTTACAATTAATTACTAATGTTGACGATCTATATCCGACGTAAAACTGCCGATCAATAACAAAATATCAGAAATGCATATTTCGCTGATATCGTATATCAACGTCCGCAATTAACAACGATTATTCCATACTGTTCCCGAACATTGTGCTGTCGGCGATCAAGACCGCGTCCGTTTCGTTATAAACTCACTATCTTTTGTATTTTTTGCTAAAAGACTTGTTGAAAATCGTTGGCGGCCATTCGAACGCTCATCTGCAGTCTGCACAAACGGGTAAGCTTAGAGTTTAAATGCGACTATCGGACTATAGACGGCAAGGTTAAATTTCATTCGAACATTAAAAATTATGATGGTCGAAATAGGTGGCTCATAACGTTCAAACCTCACTCATTTTATTTGTTTCTGCTCGACGCTTTTTATCGAATGTAGCTATTCAATCTACTAGTGCCCACTTTTGATCCAATAGTTTATTTTAACCATTACCTGCTTTAAATCGCAGAAATAAATTAATGTTTATTTTGAATGGAATTTTGATTTAGTTAATTAGGTATGTGGAGTTTGACAGTCAAGGTTTATTTTTTTTCGTATAATTTATTATCCTACCCGATAACAGGTCGATTACTTGACTACTTATATACTAAATAGCTTTTACATTTTAGTGACTGATTGGTCATCGTAAAGGGCACACGGTTTATTTAAATTCAACATTTTTTTATTATTTAAATGTCATGAAATTTCATCAATAGCCACTTCACACAAGCCCCTGTCTGACATTTTCTTAGTTAATTTATTTAATTTTTTCTAATATTTATATAAATCTACAACATTATATGTGCAAATGTTCCTTTACAGATTGTACAATCAATAGATTAAAAAAAATTTATCAAAATTAAATAATTAGGTATAAAATAAAAACCTTTTATAATATCATTTTTTACGGTGAATAGATTTATTTTTGAGTAGAATTGTTTACTAATAAAAGCCCGCGTTTATGATGTAGGTATGATTTTTAAAGAGGTATTTTTTGCTATCTGGATACAGTTAATATAGGTTTGTGCTACTCCTCCCCATATCATTATACCAGATTCTATTATAGATTGAGATAAAGCAGAATAATAAAATATTTATTATATTAATAATAATAAGCCCATATTAAAAATAAGTGTATAATTCATATAGTTTTAAATTTAATTACTAATTTCGTATTTAATAGGGTTTATTTACTGTTTTAAAATACCTATACCTGAGCCTTAATTCTCAGCAAGCCTTGATTGTATTATTCTTATTATTATTGTTGTTTTATCGCTATAAATTGAAAATATTAATATACTTATATAAAAGAGTTATGTTTTTAATATTGTTTACCGTTGTTTACCTATTGTAGATGAAGAGAGTTGATAAAGATATTTATTATACAACTATCGCACAAAAACAATCCATATCTTAATAATATGTTGATGTGATGGAAACTGAAACAATAGTTATGAGTAGTAGAAGACGAATGGTTCTTAAACCACTTTCTGCTCCAGGAGCAACTTTACAATGTAAAGAACAGAATTCCTCCAATGATACAAATGAACATGTTATGGTAAGTTTATTGTATAATTATTTAATTTAAACTTAATTTATTAAAACTAATTATTGAAAGGTTGCTATTAGGTATCTATTATATCAAAATTAATTTAAAAGAAAAATTAACATTTTTGATTAGGTAATCTTATATTATTTTTTCTTTGTTATTAACACAACTATACTAATAGTAATTTAAGTTTTTTTTTATTATTTTATTATTATCACTTATTACAAATAAGTGCATTTTTATGATTTTTAATGTTTTTGGCTTTGCTTTATGTAATTTTTTTTTGGAAACCCCTTTTTTTGCTGGCATGTTGTCCTGGCCATTCATTTAATGCCTGGGAAAAATACATATTATATTATTAATCAAATGTTCCTTAATCTTAAAGAATTATTTTACTATAAAATGACCGAAAGTGGAAATCTCTTACAGCATACACTGATTACTAAACTTTTTACAACAAAATTAAGTCCCAAGTCAGTAATTTATCAATTAAAATTTAAGTTTGTTTAAGTTAAATTAATAAAATTTGTAATGTTAATTTAAGTATATTATACAGTATTTAAGTATAGTTTAATAAACTAGGTAGCCAAAAAAAAAAATTTGGCTAGTGATTTTATAAACCATAATTAAATAATTTATAAATTTACTTATCAGTTACCAAAATAGATAAATAAATTGATGAACATCGTAAAGAGTCAATTGTATCTAGTTCTTAAAGTAATTATTCCATTATCTGAGTTAAAATATGATTAATTTTTTAAAAAGAATCAAATACAAATATTCAGTAGAATAAAATACATTTATTATAACATCAAACTAAATTAATATAGTATTTAAATATAAGCAACCAATTGTTTTCTATAAAATGTATTCTATTTTAATCAGTATATTATTTTAATTATATTATATAAATTTATCAATTACATTTTATCCAAAGCACACAGCTTGACCCACATTTTTAAGAAGATACAGCACATTTTATCAAGAATATATACTTTTTTAAATAACTATTTAGGTACAGAAAAAAAATCTACTGTTAAGTTATTTAAAACTGCTTTAAGAAATCTCCCTTAGTAATTTGTCCCAGATTGTCTACAAATGTTTATTGTATTATAATTAATATTGTTTTAAAATTGTAGTATACTTAATGATGATGTTTTAAGTTATTTAACATAATATCACTTATTTGTTATTTATAGATTCAATCACCTGCTGCACTCATTTCTCCAAAAAATGACAGAAAAAAAATTTTGTTTCGAGACGCTATTCTTCCTGAAATAATACCTTCAGTACAGCGTAATAAGGTCTTATTATCATGCACAATTAACAGGGATTTATCAGATTCTGATGATTCCGATTCTGACAATTCTACAATAAACGATGAGCCTTCAGATAAATCACCAAAGAGCAATAGAAAACTATATTATACTATTGTTATGTTTTTATGTTGGGCTGCTATTCAGTACTGGATGATTGCTGTAGTTGGTTTTGGTGCAGTATTTTTTGCTATCTCTGCTCTTATTGCTATGTATTATAACACTTCAAACTCAGAAAAAAAACACAATGTTTTAAGTGCATACTCTGTGTTTAACCCTCAATGTACACCTATTCAGGGATCTGTTGATCCAAAACAATTGGAACGTGAGCTGCTATTTGGTTAATTATGATATTAAATCAATAAATATAAAATTATACTTCTTTCAATTATTTATGGTGTCTAACTTGTTACTATAAAACATATTTTTATTCAAATATTTATTTTAACATAGTTATTTTTTTGTACAATAAAATAAATAATAAACATTATTAAAAGTTATCCTAGTATAGTATTTTACTATTTTTCAGTATCACCTTAAATTCAAAACTATTTTACATTTGTATTACAAGTGCATGTTGGTGATTAGATGTATAACTTATTATTAGGATAAAAAAAATTACAAATGATAACTTATTAATTAATTTATATTTTGTATATTAAATGTGTATAAAATTAACCATAAAATAACATTGATATAAGCCAGATTGTGACATTGTGTTATCAATACCTATTTACTTTGGCTAATTTAGAACTTTGTTTGTAACTGTAAAGTAAGTGTGAATCCAGCCGGATCTAACAAGATACAGGGTAGGACTAATACAAATTATGTATAGTTGTATAGAGTGATTCACCAACACTGTTTAGTCCTTAAATAATGAAATTTTATTTTAAGTTCTGATGTTTGAGATTTTTAAAAAATATTAAAAAAATAAAACACTGCTGCAGGCCACCCCCTTAGATCAGTGCCTGCCATACAGATATTATATTGTCTAGTTAATATTAATTCATTATTTAATCCAATCGTGGAAGTTAAATTGCATAAAAGTTATTGTTAGTTTATTGTTATTGTAATTGTAATTGGTAATTTTAATCATATTTGCCTGAGGTGTAGGTGTTATATTAATTGGATTGATTTTTTAGTAACATTTAAGTACAATATACCATCAATAAGATAATGAATTAAAAAAATGTTACAAGAAATATGAATTTAAATACAATTCTTGTATAAATTATATACAAAAAAGGAACATTTTAGATTTTAGATTCTGAGCGGTGTTATAATGTAAGTTTTTCTGATTCAACATCTGACTCAACATTGGGGGTAGTAAAAAATCTTCCGATTTTGACTTCAGTATTTTTTGTGATTGAAAAGTCAATATAGTTAGTACTTTGAAAGGTAATTGAAAAGGGTCTAAAATATTCTATATTCTAAGCGGAGAGATGAATGTATTAAACTTATAATAATGTGTTTTTATTTAATTTAGAATTTATCAATCATTCATCACCATTTGGGGTAGTAAAACTATTTCGATTTTCTTCAACAGTATCTTGTTCAATGAGAAAGAGTATTTAGTTGTTACATTCAAAATTTTGTAATACCCAATAGTTTTCAAAATCAAGAAAAACAAAAAAATTTTTTTATAAGCATTTAAAGTTTGATTTTTGCCTTTTGGCAACATTTTTTAAATTTAAAATTAAAAAGGTGGGTAAGTATATGTCGCTCTGTTGTACAATAGGTTGAAAGTGGGTCACTGTAATGAATGGTGTTAAATTTGAATTCAATGATATAATATCATTGTATAAGCTAAACAATTCTGAGCGAAAATGGTCAGTCAGGCAGCGCTCAGCAGCCTATGATATATTGATATTACTAAGTATATTTGATGATATTATTATGAATAAAGTAATTCATATATACCCTATTTACGTGGAACTTTGTCATAAATTTAAATTTTAACTATAAAAGTTGAACATTTTATACATTTTTAACTACAAAATAATTATTACATTTTAAATATGATAAATTTTGTCAAAATTAGAGCTTTAAATGCTTATAAAAAAAAAATTATGAACATGTATTTTTAATATTTTTCAACTGCTATTGTAACAATATAATAGGAGCCATGCATTAAATTTTCAAGCTTTTTCACCCAACAAATAAAATTTTAATGATATTTATAGAAAAAAAACTAAAATATTGAAAACCGACAATGTCTGTAAACAGCTCAAAAACAGTCAAATTATTTTAAAAATTTGATCGTGTATAGAAAATGCTAATATAAACATTCAGTGAAATTTTCAAGTATCTACAGTTATTAGTTTTTTAATTACAACAAAATAAGAAAATTGTTACATGAGAAATCGAGTGAATATCAAATGTTGTAAAAATATGAATTTCAAACGCTCATCAACATTTAATTTGACTTTCTTGTAGACATTTTTTTTTGGTAAAGGTAGACAAAATTATTAGGAATCTTGTATTGCATTTTCAAATTTTAGATTTAAAAAGAAAATTTTTCATGAATTTCTAACTCAAAATAATTTACAAATTTTCGTCATTTTTACGTAGTTTGACAATACCTATTTGAACTTAAGATGCTTAAAAAAAAATTGTAACTGGATTTTTAATTTTTTCATCTGTTTTTGAAACAATATACTTGGAGCCTTCTATTAAATTTTTAAGCTTTTTTAACCAACAAATAAAATTTTATTGATATTTATAGAAAAAAAACTAAAAAAAATGGTAACTGAAAATGTCCCGTAAACAGCACAAAATAAGTCAAAATATTTGGAAAATATTATAGTGCATAGAAAATGCCTATATAAACATTCAGTCAAAATTTCAGTCATTTGTTTTATTAGAGTTGCACCAAAAACCAAGATCGATTTTCTCGAAAACAGATTTTGATTCCTGTTTTTCCTTAATTTTTCTTTTGTTTTTCACCTCGCTTTCGAAAACTTCTGAGAAATTTTTACTTTTTACCCCCCGAAGTACAAACTAGATTCACTTTCCTATCAGAAAAGATATTGTTGAAGAAAATCTAAGCATTTTTACTGTCCTTAAAGGTAATGACAGATACAAAAATAAAAAATTAAAAAACCCTCATTGTAAAATGATTTTGTAGTTAAAAATTCAAGAAATGTTCAACTTGTCTAAGTATTGAAATTTTAAAACAATGTGTCAATGTTTCACTTAAGTATGTTATTCGTTATTCTGTAACCAAAAAGTATAAAAATACAGGTGTTTTAATAGTTATTTTATGTTCAAATTTGGACGAAATTACATATTAAATAACCAATTATAACGATTTTAGTTATTTTGATGTAATTTTATAATATTAATACAATTTACCGGCCATTGTATTAATAATAAGTACAAACCAGGGGCTTGCACCCGAATTAACCGGTACCCCTAACACCCCTAAAAATCAATTACTCGAAACCTTTATAACCCGAATGATATGGTTTCTTACAATCAGCATGTGATATATCATGTTTATTTTTTTTTTGTGGTGAGTTTGATTCTGTAGATGGTTATTTAATAACAAAATAATAATAAATTAACATTAACAATTTTACGATCAATCATAGGTGAATTCAATAAATTTTATCTTATTTTCTTGAAAATAAGATTCAATAAAATCATTGATTGATTCTAATTAAACCAAATCAAGTAATACTAAATTATTTCTTAGGTATATCTGATATATAATATATATATATAATTTATTACTATATTAATATATTGCATATAAAATAAATCTTAATATAAGTTATTAGCAATATAAAATATAGACATCGTAATTCGTGGCTATAGATATTTACCAGTTTTCCAGAAATCGCAAAATCATAATTTATATTTTATTTTTATTTCTGGACGGCTCGATGCGCCTATGGCCTATCTATTTTAGACATACAGTTAATTATACCTATCTGTAAACTTGACAAGTGGTAAATAAATAGGTACCTAATTAATTTCCCCTTGTCTTAGTTCTTGTAGTTTCTTAGAAAAATGTAATTACTGTATTTTAATAAACCGAGTTTGGTATAAAATGAATGTTGACCATTCGTATTTCGTATTAAGAATTTATATTTTATTATAAATTATTTATTTTTAAATTATTTTTTCTTGGGTTGCTCGGCCTTCGAAAGAATCATTTTTCGTTCACAATAATTTTAAATACTGAGTGGAACGACGAATGTATTGATTTTACAATGATGTGTTTTTTTTTTAATTTTAATTTTATTATAAATTATTTTTTTGGGTTGCTCAGCCAAATTTTTTTTAGTTTTTTTTCCATAAATATCAATAAAGTTTTATCTGTTGGGCCAAAAAGTGTAATAATTTAATACAAGGCTCCTGATATATTGTTACAATATAAGTTGAAAAATATTAAAAATACATAGGCACAATTTTTTTTTATAAGCATTTAAAGATCAAATTTTGATAACATTTATCAAATTTAAAATTGGATAATTATTTTGTAGTTAATAATTTATAAAATGTTCAACTTTTATAGCTAAGGATTGAAAATTTAAAACAAAGTTCCACATAAGTAGTTAATTCTGTTACCAAAAAATCCAAAAATACATTAGCACAGTTTTGTTTCATAGTCATTTTAAGTTCAAATTTGGATGAAATTACATAAAAAAAACCTAGAAAAACTATTTTAGTTAATTCGTTGGGAGTGTATAATATTATTCTTGGGTACTTGAAATTTCTAAAGTACACTATTATCAGGGTTTGTTGTTGATCCGGTTGATGTATAACGCGTTATAAGTACCTAATGGATATGGTGATATGATTAATTTGGAATTTATTATAGGTCAATTTTTTTTAATACCGTAGATAGGTATAAAATATTTCTTAAACCTAGACTCCGCTCAGAATCGTTATTCTTATACAATGATATTATATCATTGACTTCAAATTTAATACCATCCATTATACAGTGACCCACTTGTAACCTACTGTACAACAGAGTACCTTTTTTTTTATTTAATTCAAATATAACAAATCAGTTACAGTGACATGCACGACAACTAACTGTACAGCAGAGCGGTATCCACTTGTCCACTTTTTTATGTATCATTCAAAATACTAAAATAAAAATATTTTATAGGTACTTAATATATTTTTTTTTAGTTTTCTCCTTTTTTATTACTCTTAAAAAATTAGATCATGTAATAATTGCAGTGTTAATGCATTGAATAACATACTTGTAATATTTTTAAAAATTATTTTATTTTTAGATAAATAAAATCTGGTATTTATTGAAATTGAAATTGTTTTACCATACGTTTACAATAAAAAGCTTTTATTAAAAACTAATAAAAAAGATA